TATGGGGTGAGAAGCCCCAGTTGTGTTCACAGTGTTTTGTCAAGTCAAATGCAGTACATCAAAAATCTCTTTCAGTATGTAGCAAGCTCCTTCCCAAAACTATGTCAGCTTTTAAGGGTTTTTGCCTAAGCTGCTCTTCTTGGGAGGCTGCTCCAGAGCTGGATCCTCTGAAGGATGGGGACTTTTTTTTCTGATTCTTATCCTAAATTTATCTGGGGACAACCATTATCCATCTGTTCTTAAGCCAACCTTGTCCCTTATCTTACATAACACTTTTACTTCACTGATGGCTCCCTTCAGTTCTCCCTTCTGGCTGACTCAAGATGCATTTAGAGAGGGACTTTGTTGTGAAAAATGTTAACCCCCATCTCTCTGAGGTGCTGGATTCTCAAATGGTTTCTTGGCTTGTCTCAGTTATGAGCCAAGAATGTGTTTTGCATCTGGTCCTGTGCTTAAACTTCTTGAAATAATTTTTGCTGCCATTGCTGAAGTCCTTTTATGTAGTTACTCCAGCTCCAGTTACCTGTGTGTCAGGAACAGAGAACACTGATCTCTTTAAGAGTGCCCTTCACAAAATGCCAGCAGGCTAGAATTTTACTTCAAACAACTCTTTTTATAACCTCCTTTTTTTTTTTTTTTTTTTTTTTTTTTTCCCCACCCTCCCCGCTCCCCTAAATGGAAATTATCACTCTGAGAGTCTGGATTTATTGCAGAAATAATTGGGCACATTGACACATTTTAATAGGACAGATTTCAGGGTGTCACAGTGCAGATCTGACAGTTTCATCTGGCCTTACATCTCCTTCTTGGCCAGCAGGGTAGTCCATACCATACTGCCACAGTAATTAATCAGCTCAGGGCTTAGTTAGGATCCCTGTGTGGGTATGAGCTGCACAAAAGGATCTGCTGATTTAGCTTTTTAGCTATAAAGTAACTTGACAGTGCCCATTCCATTCCCAAAACAAATGACTGAAACCTCGAAACTGAAGCAGATTTAGAAGCAGGTGTGCACTGCTTCAGGAGAAAAATAAGTGCTGTGACTGAAATCTGTACAACCACTGAAATTGCTTAATCTTTGCTTTTGACATATACTTCAGAGCTAGCTAATGAAATCCTTCCAGCTTTTTGAGGTTAGACTGTAGAATTGTGATGGCTTTATTTATTATTTAATACTACTCTTGCCTGTCACAAACTCATCTAATATTTGAATTACTTGGGTTTGACTCTTTGTTCGTGTGCCACAGGGCATCAGGGGCAGGGAGCCATCAACCTGTGATGCAGCTCCACACCATTTTCATCTGCTCAAACTTTCAATCAGGTTTGATGGCAGAGTGAAAAATGCTGTCTTAATTCAGGTGCACTGCACTGTGTGTAGTGACAGTGACAGGGTGGGGATAACAGCACACGCCTTGACATCTGTGCTCCCTCCCCTGCACTCCTGATGTTTTTCCTCCTTGCTCTGAACTGGGAACCATTTCTTGCTCTACCTGAGGTGCACGGGTGCCAAAATTTTGGAGTTTATCCTGGGAAAGTGGTGAACACCTGCAGTTCCTGTTGAGGTCCAGGAGAAGTGTACAAATGCCTGGCGTTTCTCTTCCAAGTTACCTTTCAAACAAGTGCTTTCCACAAAAACTTTTTTTTTTTTTTTCAGTCTTTAAAACCTTTAAAAGCACAATCTCTGCTGTGGGGTGCTGTCAGTTCCTCTCGTTTTCTTGGTGGTTTCACATTGCAGGAGCTTCTGGAAATGGAAAAAAAGGGGAAGGTTGCAATCAGTCTTTTCAAAAGCAACCAGATACAACCTGGAGCTGTTGTGCATAAACCCTTGAGGCTGTTTATAAGTAAAGGGACTGAAAGCTCCAAGGAAAGCAGTGTGAAACTTTTACTCACTTTTCAGCGTTCCCTTTAAAGTTTCAGTAAAATAAAAAAGTGTTCAGATGTAAATGTATGTCCCCTTGTTTTGCACAAGCTCTGCTGAAGAAAACTCTGTTGTTCTCCCCCTCATGCTGATGGGGTGGAGGGGTGAGGAAATGGCTGTGTGGGGGGACTTAGCTGCTTCTTGGGGTAAACTGACCACAGCTGGTTACTATCTCTCCTGGTTAAGGAGAGGAAAAATACAGTATTGAGCCTCCCTCTTTAATTAACACCTTCCAAAAAAACTTCTTGCTCATAGTAATACGAGAACTATTCAAGCAAGTTTAAAGCCTATATCCTGAAAAAAAAAAAAAAAAAAAAAGTTTATGAATGTGCTTTTTGTGTTCTAAATTCCTGAGTTGCACATGAGACAGAACTTCTACTGCCATGTGTAACACTCTTGGGGAAATAAGAGGAACAAAGTTTTTAGGGATACATAGGCTCATCTGGTTCTGCTGGCCCCATAAAAGGGTGCTGTAGAGCAGGTTTCACCAAATCCTGCAGCTCACACTGCCAAAAAGTACAGGGCTGGATAGTTTTCCCGTTCAAATATTGTGTGATGCAGTTTGGTTCGACTTTTTTTTTTTTTTTTTTAATTAAAATACCTCAATGTACTGTTGTAGGAATTTCTTTCACCTCTGTTATCCCAAATCCTGTTTATAGAAATGTGGGCGTGTGGGCTTGATAAGCTGTTCAATCCTAACCTTTGCTTCAGCAGCTGACTTTCAGGAACTCTGTTTCTCAAGATTAATACCCTCTTAATAAAAATAACCTTGTGTGCATTGAACTCTGCTTAAACGTGGGGGTATCTGAAAACATGTTGAAAATGGCTTTGCAAATGTTATGAGCAGAATGTAAAAAAAAAATTCCTAAAATAGTATGGAAAACGTTAAAATATTTTCTGCATGCTCCTTTACACATTAAGAAGGGAGGTTTTCAAAGAAGCCAGTGGGAAATGCTAGGGGCTGCACTACATAAAATACTTCTCAAGGCAGCCTTTACCACAGCTAAATAAATGATATGGTGGGTACAGATAAAAGTGGACACCAGCAGGAAGCAAGGGAGAGAAATTCAGGTCTCTAGTGTTGCCTAAAAACAAAGGAAAACTTTGCAAACATTATTAAGAGTGATCAGTTCTTTAATGAAAGCTTTCAGATGCACAAAGTGTAGGTATGCAAGTGAGTGATTCAGGATTTCTACAATTTTAATAAGGTTAATTAATTAGGAGGTACATGCAATAAGAGACTTGTTGTCCCAGGGTTTGCTCCTTGGAGTTTGTCTAAGGAGTTCTTTGCTCTATATTTTGTGATTTAAAGCAAGATATCCTGGTTAGAAGTTCCCTTCTTGAGAGTGAGACTAAACAGAATTCCAAGAACGTGTTGTAAAGGGTTGGCTTCTTATTCTGAAATGTGAGAGGGGGCAGGAAAAGTGTTGGTGATGAAGAGATACAAGAGTTTGTGGGATACAAACTTTTATATACTATTTTAGGGAGGCTAGTAACGTGTACTACAATGATTGGGTTAAAGATCACTTAAACAAACTTACGCATTTTAAACTTCTCTTGTTGCAGAAGTCTGATGTAATTGTCTTTTTCTGGTAAACCTTTCTGAATCTTGCAATCCTCAAAGTTCTGTTTGCTTTTGACAAGGCATGCTGTTACCAAATCTCTTATGTTAACCAGGTCCAATGTCCATAATTTGTCGTGTTCCCCAACATTCCAACCTTCTCCCCCTTTCCTTTTGACCAAAACCACTCCTTTAATGGCCTTATTAATTAATCTATGCACAGATTGAAAGGTAGCATGATTAATACAATTAGCACATACATACCTATCCTAAAAAGAATCTTTTAGTTAAAAAACTCCAGCCACTAAAAGGCTCAGGTTTGATCTTTATAAACTAAAAACATTCCTGATGGCAGCCACATTACTGTATTTAGAAAGACTGCCAGAAGCATAATTGTACCAAAAGGTTTGATTCTTTTACCCGGGGTGATAGAGAGAAACATTTAAAAAGTTTTAGACTGATTTCTTCCTGTGTAATTAAAATTAACATAAAAATCCAATTTCACAGAAAGCAGGAACTTTAATTCTTGAGGTTGCAAGGGAGTTTCAGGAGGGTAAGGGATCAAATTTGATGTGATTTGATTTGCTTTCAAAATTTTTAGTGTAAGCATTAGTGTAGAGCTCTGGAGGAGCTATAGAAAAGCATTAGGAGCTATAGAGCTATACATTAAAAACCTACAGATCCATGAGAGGCATCCTGGGGGACACTGAAAGCTGCGTCCTGCACCTGCTCTGCATTCAGTGCTTGAAGGGGTGGGTTTGTGCTTTGAGCTGGGGGCAAAGCATCCTTGATTTATTAAAAAAATATGGATATTGATCTAGTATCGATATTTAACTATGACGGACAAAAAACTCTCTAACAGTTTAAAGTTAGAAAGTGTATGTTTATTCAACACCAGGCAGGGTGCGGGATAGCTCCCAAATACACACCACACCTTCCAGGTGATTACAGCGTCTTTTTATCCATAGAAGCATTGAATACACAAAATACAAACACATATTCATCATTTTGGTACATCCTATTCCCCGCTTCATAAGCTAATCACTCCAAAAGCCATTCAGCATGCGTAGTTTGTCCCTTGAAATGGGTTGGTGTCCCTTTCATGGGGAGGAGTCCCAAAATGAGGAAGTCAATGAAGTCTTCCTCATTCTGACCTTTCTACCTTTCAATGCAAATATGACAAATGAACTCTTGGTAGAACTCCCATTCCTTGTCTTCAATTGGTTTCAGAACAGAGGAGGCCCACAATTGTCTTATGTTCCTAAAAGCTATTTATCAGTTTGTGTATTCTTCATTATAAACCCAGCTAACTAAACATTGTGCTGACAAGCAATCAGTTATTAGTTAACTACTAACTCTTAACTTCATCAAGGCCTACTCATTTATTATTCTTATTTTAATTAACTCTAGTAAGGCTTATTTCTAACTAAAATCTTAGCTCCTCTAAAATATCTTTATTCCTTAAAATTTAAGTTTCTTCCTCGCTGTGCTGACACCTGCCTTGCCTGTGTTGTGCCTGTGCAGTGGCTGAGGAACCCGGGCCCCCAGCACGAGAAGAGGACTCTCTTTGGGGACATGGTGTGCTTCTTGTTCATCACCCCGCTGGCCACCGTCTCCGGCTGGCTGTGCCTGCGAGGAGCCGTGGACCACCTGCACTTTAGCAGTAGGCTGGAAGCTGTTGGCCTCATTGCACTCACTGTGGCACTCTTCACTATTTACCTCTTTTGGACCCTGGTAAGTATCACGGCTTTTATCTGACTCACAGGGAAAAAAGGGGAAAGAGCCAGCAGGAAAATTAATCGCATGGCGTGTTGCTTCTGTTCGCCTCCTTTGCTGGTGAGTGCAAACTGCACCTGCAAGAAACCTCTTGTTTCCACAACATTCAAGCTCCCTGGAACTTTCTGGAACACCAGAAAGACAGTTTGCTTCTGGGTAAGGTTTCTCAAATCTCAAACACCAGTGGGGACAGTAGGAGGGAGGCAGGGAATTGGCACGGGGGAGTTGAAGACAGATTCTGCAGTGTTGGAACCCTGGTTACTGAGAATTTTGGACTTTCTGTGCTGACCCCCAAGAGAACACTGCATTTGACCTGAAGAAGGATTCAAAAATTAAATTATAGAACTAAGATTACGAGTGTGTAGCTTGAGTAAAAGTGTGTAATATCACATAGTAGAAAACATAGAGTTTGATGTTTAAGTTATAGTAATATATATAAAATACTATAGAGATTTTAGGGTGGAGACTAGTCCTTCTTCTTCATGAGCTTCGGTAGTATTGTGTAATTAGATTAAAAAGTCCACATTGCGGGCCACAAGGTGTTAGTTATTAAGTTAAAAATAAAAGTAATTTAAATGTAATTTCTTAATTAGACAGTTTATCCTTAAAAAAACTTGTAAAGAGAGAGACACAGCTCCATTTTTAGTTTGTTAGAGTGAACTACTGTAGAACTCACAGTTTGTGTGACTGTAATATAGATAAAAACTAATAAACATCTGAGTCTGAACAAAAAATACCGTTTCATACATTGAATCCCAACCTTAACAAAAAAAACCCCAAAGCATCCACACTACAGGGGGGAGTTTCATCAAATGTGATGTGCAAAGGGCGAAGGCACAGCACACACACACGAAAAAAGATTAAGTGAACAACGTGGCTGCCACAGAGGACTCAGATTTTATTCTAATGCAGCATCTTGCCATTTTGCAATTTAGAAGTATTGGATGTGGAGAAAGTCAGATCACACACGTGCCCAGGTCTGTAAAAACACAGCTGGCTTTGCAGTGCAGGTTAAAATGCATCCTGCACCCCAGCACGAGTCACCCTCATGCCAATCCATCCCGAGAGCCACTCAGTTGTTGAACTGAGATAATTTACCGGCCCCAGTGCACTGACAGGCAGCTGGCCCAGCAGAAACGAGAAGAACACAAGGGACAGCTGCCAGAAAGGGCATTCATCAAGCCACGGTGTAGCAGCTCACTGAAAAGCCCGGGTTAATGCTGGTTTTGGCATTTCACACCCGTTTTTGTGGGGCAGGAGGAGCAGGGTGGGTGCCGAGGGGCAGCGCTCACAGCAGTGCACTGGGATGGTGCCAGGCTGTGCTGCTGGGGCAGCAAAAGCCCAATGGGCCCATGGCATGGCCACATCCCACAGGGTCAGCACACGGCTCTGCCCCTCGCTGGGTATGGCCATACTCCAGCCCAGACACCTTCCTGCACGTTTGGACCCCTGTAAGTCGCTGAGGAGGCGGCACTTCTAAAAAACTGCATTGGTGGAGCAAAAAGCCCCCCTGTGCTGAGCCCTGAGGAAAAGGGGATGTGAAGGGAACACAAGAACCCCACGGTCCCTCACGAGCATCTCCAAGAAAGCTATAAAAGGGAAATTTCATGTGGACATTTGTGAGCCCTGTGTCACCCACAGGGGAATGCAGGCAGTGCTCGACAGGAGGGAAAGCTCAGAGTTGTGCCTCTGCCTCGGCAGTTCATCTTTTTTTGTTGTTTCTGCTTTTCTGTGAGGCAGCAGCACTCCCCTGAGACAGGCCATGTACTCCAGCAGTGAGGCCACACTTGCTTTTCCTGCAGTGCTGGGTGTAGATGTGCCTGGCAGGTATGCAAGCAAATGTTGTTCAAATTTTCTTTGTGCATGGCTGTCTTAGAAACCAAAATGCTGAACAATTTACCTAACACACTTAATTCACCATCACCCAAATCAATGGGAGTGGTTAAAAGGTATTTTTTCAGGTGGGTTTAATTAGCTATGACACGTGGCTTTATCCAGCCTTGCTTGTTAAGACTACTGGAGCATCTCAACTTTGGTTCCTATACCTGGGTCTTGCATCAGAGTAAGAGGCAAAAATACCTTATATTCACTTTATAAATTTTATTCCTTCAAAAGCACACACAGAAATGTGCTATTGGCTCTTGGAGAACATGCTAGTGATAGTGAGCCTGCTGTAAATGCACACCTTGATTGATTTAATTGAAATGCAGTATCTTTGATGCTCACTCAGGTGTCTAGAGCTGTAATTCCATTTTAAATTGTTATTTAGGGAAGTAGGAGATGGATGGGCTAAGGAAGAACTGTGCTCACCTGAGAAGGGCAAGACAGGAAGGCCTTTAGGGAAGTGAATCACCAAATTATTGAAGCTGGGAGGCACAATAACCCTCCTTTCTGTGATGTAGAAAAGCTCCAGCCTGGGTTTGCCTTGGGGAGGGCTCCAGGCTCCCCTTGTCGTGCAGGAAGGAATGGCCCCACACACAGAAGTGTTAATTTCATCGAATACTTCAGCAGCACATGCCTTGTCACTTTCAGAAGTGGCAGAATCCTGTTCTGTAGCCATGGCTGTGCAGGGAATAGGAATAGGTTCAGTGCTGCGGGTTAAATCACACACACGATGATACAATATTCTTTTAGGTCCTGGGGAAATTAAGAGAACTGAAACTCTGTTTTACTTCCAGTAAATCAGCTTTCCTTCTCTGGTGTACAGATTATTTACACACCACAGTTATCCCAGCGAGCAGTGAACAGCAGGGATGCTATTTTTGGCATCCCAGAAGCTGTTTTATCCCTTTCTCTAAAACAGACAAGTTATCCATAAAACACTGTTGCTTTTTACTCTGTATGTTTAACACACACACAAACAAAAAAGGTACCTGGTCCTCCCAAGAAGAAAGCTCCAGACGCAAAAAGGGGATTGTTACTTTAAGAATTCAGGGCCACACTTTGCTTTCTCTTGTGTGACATACTTGCCTGCAAATGAAGCAGCTGTTATTCGAAGAACCTCATATTGTGCTGCTTGAAAACCCAACCCTCTGTTGAGGCTGGGATTGAAGGTACTTGAGACAATAGTTCATGTTCAGACTCAGGTGTTTATTGTTTCTTATCTATTGTTTCTTATCTATATTATAGTCTCATTACTGTGAGTTCTGCAGTTTTTTATTAACAAGGTACAAAATGGCCAACTATCTCATGTTACAAGGTCTTTTAAGGCTAAACTATCTAATCAAGAAATAACACTTAAATTATTTTCTCTTTTAACTTAATGACTAATCATTTGAAGCCTGCAATGTGAACTTTTTTGTCTACAATTATAAAATACTACCCAAACCCATAAATAAAAAGGAAGAAGATAGTAAAGAAGAACAACCTCTCTCTACCTTAAAACTTCTTACTTTATATTTATTTCTATATTCTAAAACCCCAAAATCTAAGTTTGCCACCCTGTGATATTACACATTTCTAACCAACTACACACTTGTAATTTTAGTGCTATTAATCAATATTGGAAGCCCTCTCCATAGCCTCAGGTAAAATGCAGTGCTCTCTTGTGGGTCTGTGCCTTTCAGCACAGAAGGTTTAAAATTCTCAACATCCAAAGTTCCATCAGTAAAGCAAAGCTTTATACATTTCCCTCAGACAGCTATGAAAAGATCTAATTAAAAAAAAAAAAAAAACAACCAAAAAGTATTTTTTAGCCCTTGTAGGACATAATTGAAAGGTACATTTCTTTAGTTTCTTTAGTTAAAAGCACCCTTTATGCAGTAAGGAAAGGATACAGTGCATGAGGTAACTCCTGCCCACAGCTCAAGAAGAAAACAATAATCACTTGGCACATTTCTCTCAAAATTTACAGTTTGTTGTAAGTTTTTGTTGGTTTTTTGTGGGTTTTTTTTTTAACTGCATATACATCCTCTTACATAGCTACGACTCCCACAAAGGTTGGCTGTCACTAAAACAAGTTGTAAACTATTTTTTAAAAACATGAGGCCTAGCTATCTTGCATCTCCACAGAAATCACACATTTCTCTTCCACATAAAGGTTGAAATTACCTGAAAACAAACAAAAAAAAACTTTCAGAGATGATCTAAATTGAGCATGTTGTCAGTTCATTGCCTCTGTGCAGGCCCAACTTTGATGCATTCAGCATAAAGCATTACAAGGTAGAGCACACCACCCTGCAAACAACTACATTTTTGTCAATTTAGCAACTTGAAGCAAGAGAAGATATCCCAAATTCTCATTCCATGTGTGCCAACAGCTCTTGAGAAAGGCAGAGGCAGGATGTCTGATTTTTCAGGCTGTGAAAAAGGGAGAATGGGAGGTAAAATAGTCACAGGCTGATTTTCTTTGCTGTGGCACCTTGGGGCATGGTGGGTCTTCTATTTTCACCACTTCACACCCATTCTGTCACACTGGAAGGCATTTGGGGCCCCGTCTGAGTCCTTGCAGGGTGGCAGTGACTGAAGGTAGCTGTGTCCCTTCTGTCCCCAGGTGTCCTTCAGGTACCACTGCCGGCTGTACCACGAGTGGCGTCGGAACAATCAGCGGGTGATGCTCCTCATCCCAAAATCTGCCAACGCCCCCTCCACCCAGCAGTCCCTGCTGGGCCTGCAGCCCCTCAAAAGGAGCTCCAAGGAGACAATCGTGTGATTTGGGGTGCAGCTGCACACTAAAGATATTTTTCTTTCCTCAGACCCACCGGGGTCGGGCAGCGTCCAGCACCCAGGAATGTGCAATTTGGATTTACAGACTGACTGCAGAGGGATAAATCACAGCCAGAATTCAAGTCATGGATGCTGCAGTCATTTGTGGCATTTGCTAAGCTGCCAAATGAGTTTAGTTAGCAGGGACCCTATGGATTCTGCAAATATGTTAATTGTTGCGTCATCGAGTGATGCAAACTTTTTTTATTGTTTAAAGTATTAAACTATGGTAATTAACAATGCAAAACAGGTTTAAAAAGTGCTTTGTTTTTATGATTTCTTGTTCCTACAGTACTGTTTCTTTGAGGAGCTGGACAGTAACCAATATTTATTTCTGCTTCCTAAAGCACAGCAATGGCATTTCCTCATTTGATTTTATCTGCAGGTCTATTATACCAATGTTTTGATTATTAAAATATGTGTGTAATGAGGTCTACAAATTGGCACATTATTTAAATGCTACAAAGTGATTAGAAAATTGAGTTACCCATTTTCCTATTTGGCAGGAGAGGTCTGACAGGAAGATTCTTCAGTTATGAATCTAGCATGTGCAAGAGAAAAATTATACAAATTGCAATAATCTTCCTGTCAAAAGTATTATAGCACATAGCACTCAGGAAAAAAAAAAATTGTACTTTTCAACGAAAAACTACCACATTCTTCAGTGAAGTACACATTCTGCTGGTATGAATTCAAACTTATCCAACATATCCTGCATTTATACCAGGCTGAATTTAACTCTACTGCTTACTTTTGTATAGGGAAAGCTCTGCATACATAATAAATGAGATCATCAGATAAGTTTTAGGAAGCAGGGACTCATCTTGAATGAAGAACAGCATTATTTTAAAGCAGCAGAAACTCCAGCTTGACAGGTAGGATTTGGCAGAGTTTGCAAACCCTGACATCTCATGGCAGCACTGAGACAAAAAAAAAATTAAAAATATTTAATACAGTCTTCTGTGATGGCCAAATTGAATCTGGAGTGTAAAATCAGACCTTATTCCTGGCTGACTTTATCTGCTTCCCCTTGGTTTTATGCCTAATTCATTCAGCAATTTTTCAATCCCAGAAGAGACACACTTATTTTAAATAACTATACAAAATCTCATTACTAAATGCTGCTAGAATTAGAAATTGGTACAGAGCCCCTCTGAACAGATGAATTTCATAGAATTGTGCATGGATGGCAATACCACCATGTGCTTTGTTTTCCAAAAACTGCAGGAACTGAAAATCAAAAGGAAGACATAGCAGGAAGGCTAATAATTTGTTATTCATAAAGTTCAAGGTATTATGGGTATTTACCACCAGACAAGAAGTTATTTGATGTTTTGTGTGTGTTCTGTGGGAGGGGGAGAAAGCTTCGTACTCAAAGCCAAATCTGTTAAATTTCTTTATTCTGTCTGTGGACCAGTCTAGCTGTGAGCATGTTATTGAACAATGTTCTTTGTAACTGTCAGTCATGGGGATAGGAGAATCATGGGGATATAAAGCAATAACAGCCTCATTCCAACAGAAAGGCACTTACACAACGAGACAAGGTGTGTATAGGAAAATCATGAACCTGCAGATCTGTACTCATCAGTCTGACAAGGCTGGGGTTGTTCATCTTTGTGAGTAACTGCTTCTCTTACAGAGAAAACTATACAAGGCTCTGAAGGATATCACAATCTCTGTGATAGCCTAAGACCTGTAGTGCTTTTGTTTTTTTTTTTTTTTTTTTTTTAATACCTCTTCCCAAAGGCAAATAATTATTTGGAATGAAGACCAAACAACACTTAAGCAGAATTCCAGATTTAAAAAATAATATCTGCTGGCCAGGGGTAAAGAAATAAAGCAAATCTAACAGGGTCAGGATGCTGTCAGTGTTTTAATGCCTACACCCATACTTTAGGTAAGCTTTCTTCAGAACTTTATTACTGCTCTTGAAATCTTTGAAAGAATTGTTGCTCTTAATGAGTGCTATTGTTGGCTTTGCCTCATGAAACCAAGAATCAGGGTGATAGGCAATTAAGTGGCAAAACATTAAGGGAAACATTTATTCAAATGAAGCTGCAAGGTCTATGCACAGAGATCAGCACAGTCTTGGCCCAGCTCATTTGTGTTATTTTTTTTCTTTCTTTTTTTTTTTTTTTTGGGGGGGGGGTTTGTTTTTTATTTTTTTATGTTAAGACATCTTTACTTACCTGAAGAAAGCATATTGAAGCAGAGAGATTAAAAGTATGGTCCAGTTTAGCACACACATCACTAACCCAATTTCTGTGCCTGATGCAGCTGCACAGCACAACTGTCTGGTGAAGTGGCAGTAGTGTCCCATGGATTTTCTTGAGAAAAAAAATGGCAGGAGAAGTCTAGTCAGGCACTTAACATTGCATTAAACCCATGGAAAAAAAGTATACTTGTATTCTTCCTTGTTTTTCCTAACACACAAGAACTGGGAGGTGGGAGATATTACTTCTTAATCCCACTTCTGCTCTAAATATTTACAGACAGAAGGATTTCCCAGAAGGGAGCTGAGTTTACTTACACGAGCTGATGCTGTAAATGCCACACCAAGCCCAAATTTCCATAAAAAACTGTATAATCACAGCAAATATTCTACAGTAGCAGCAACATCCATTTCTGTCTGAATAAAAGTGACAGACAAAATTTACCACAGCAGAAACTGCAGCCAGCAAAGCTCCTGGCAGTACAATGACACCTTTGTCATGCTCTCCTTAACAACCAAATTAATTAAAGAACATAATTAATGACAGGATGACTGACCACCTTTTTATCTTTTTTAAATGTCACTCAACTTCTCTCTCAGCACTTTATGCTTTCTTCTCATGCAGCTGACCTTGTCATTGATAAGAAGTTACATGGAAGGAACAGTACTCAACAGTATTTGAGCCAGTATTTTAAGTTGCAAATGATAAAAGCAGCCTCTTGTGATTCAGTGTGATGAGTGTAATGAAAATGAGGAAGTTTTACTTTTTTTACAGAGTATTTTCCCTGCAGGACTTGCCTATCACATTACATGAAATTTAGAAATACCCCAGCTTTCTGTTCAGCTGGAAAGAAAGTTGCAGAGTAACAGAAGCAGTTATTAAAGATACTTCAGATTTTAGTGTTTGGGGTTTTTTTTTCATTATGTAGCTGAACAGTTCTGCCAGACTGAGACCTCAAAATGTCGTTTACATTTCCTTTCTTTAAACTGGCTTTGCACCAATACAAAGTCACACAGGGCAAAGTGACAACTCTGCATTAAGGGACCCAGAGCCAATAAATGCAACTGGCCTTTGATGCAGTGGGTACCATCAGAAAGAGGTTTGAGAACAGATATTGGGACAGACTCTTGCACTAAGAGAGCTAAAGAAGCTCTCCCTTTGGAAAAAACAAAACCAACAATCTGTTAATAATTAAATATCTTTACTTGTTACTTTTTGTGAAATGGCGCTTCATTTAACACAGAACTGGTTAATTAAAGAACCATTTTCCTTGCAAGCAGAACTGGGCCCTGCCTCCTTACTGACAATTATTGGGTATTCAAAAGTATCTTCAAAGCTACCGTGCAAACTCATAGAATCACACAATTTTTAAGGTTAGAAAAGATGATGACCCCTCCTGCCCTCCAGCAAATCCAATTTAGTGTTATCCAGAACTCAAATTTTGTTTTCTCCAAATTTGCTGAGGAAACACTCCAGATCAATAAAGATAAATAATAACCAGATTTCGTCCCAACGCTGATGATGACACCTCACTGATCCACTCTTGTTATTCCACATTTCAAAATTAGTTTCCCATGCATTTGTACATGAGGCAGCTTTTTCAAAAATCAAAGGTTACATCTTTCAGTCCTTAACCTGCTTTCAGGTACTGAATCTTTTGCTAACAGCCTCTTCCCCACACCCGCTTGTGGCAAGGCTACAAAACACTTGTGCTCCCTTTGGTCTTAAAACATTACAAAACCAAAGGGAATTTATTCTAAGTGTACCACATACTTCCCAGTAAAACCTGTCAAAGTAAAGAATAAATGTTGATATCCTCTGTCCAACATGCCCTTAGAAGCAACAACAAAACACACCAACCTCAAAAACAAGATGCTGCAGTTGCAGGGGAACTCAATGCCATAGTTTAATTCCATGGCTTCTGTTATTATGCAGAAATAAAGACTTGCTTGCCAAAAATAGTATTTTTTTGTTCTGATAGTGCAGAACAGCTATGAAAACTCACATCCAAGAGTTAATTTTTAGTTGTATGAAAATTCTACCAATCAATCACCTTAAGCTGAAATGTGCCTTCCTTTATTAATGCCCCAAATGCAGCTTTTCTTCAGGGTAATCACAGTGTTTTTATCACACAGAATTTCTGTATTTATGCAAACATGCTAAAAAGAAACCAGGAGATCAGCAAAAGGCTCTCAGCAATAAATGCACACCAAGCAAAACCTGAGATAAAATAGCTAACTTCTGTCATAATCCTGTGATGGAGCTCTTTGAGTATTATAAATAATGAAGTGTGCCAGCGTCTCCTTGATGTCCAGGAAAGGCTAAATAAGCATTCACATCCATCACACACAACCTCCACTCCCTTTCTAAAAAATCACCAATAATTACGAGTTGTCCTCTTTGGGACAGGGGCTTTAAGAGCTTTTATTCTCCATCAACTAATCAATTTCTTTGCCTGGAGGAAAATCCTTCATAGTTATCATGTGGCCACTTCAGTAAAAGCAGCAGCATGTAAGTACAGATACAACTTACAGTTTAATATGAATATGAAACCCAGTGTTTCACAGATAAAAATATCCTTTCAGTCCAGAAACCCCCAAATTAGTATCAAAATGATACACTGATAAGGCAAATTTTAATTGAAAAAATTAAACGAAGATCAGCATTTAAAATTGCATTATTTATAGAAGGAAATTAATAATTAGCATCTGTTGAAAATAATTTGCTTATTAATTTCTCTGTCCATATTCTTCTGCTGCTTAGACAAATGTGATGTACGTAAATAATGAGCAAGGAAATACAAACCAAAAAACAATCTTTAGCATCATAAAAATGCTAAAGCATGCTGTTAACAGCATCATAAACCAATTTGCACCAGTTTTGACTACACTATGGTTTTTATAATGAACACTAGAAAAAAAGAATGCAGTTTACAGGTTTGCTGCACAGGTCAAACCACTTTTTTCCTAAATTCTCAATCTGTTTTTCATAGGAATGAGTGTATTTGAGCAGAAACATTTCTGGTAAAGTGTTTATCCAGCTACAAGAAGTAAATTACTAAAGAGTTTTCACCTGCAGGAAAATTGAATATGCATCTAACGCCAGAACTAATGATAATCAAGTTACAGAACTTGCAGGGAAGTGCAGGAAGTGTTGGGTTGTTGCTGTACAATATTGAAAAAAACCAAGCAAAACAAGACCTCCACCTTGTGGCAGGATATTTCACAGTTGTGTTTCCCAATGCTCCCTTCTAATCTACAGGAATTCCTGCCACAGCAAAGAAAAAAAGCAAAATTATTCTAAAATCTGCATTTTTACCACTATCATGGAAGAACAAGCTCTACAAAAGCTATAACCAAGAATGTGATCATGCAGGAAGGCTCCTACCATAACTTAAGAATTGTAATTCAACCCCTCCCTTTTTACCTTCTGCTGGCACATGGTTGAAATGCCACCAGAAAAGGGCTCATCCAAGGTGAAAGACATGTAAAAAAAATCTTAATTTTGCCATGAGGAAAAAAAAAAGTCCAGTCAATTAAAAAAAGAAAAAAAAATTCCAATCAATTTCCAAAATTCTGGCCGTGCATTTGAAATAATACATTCAGGCTGTGTCAAAGATAACTATTTTACAGCACTTGTAAATTTCTCTTTATGTTACTGTGCTTGCTAACATTGCTTAGCCTGGTGCTTGCAGGATGCAGTAAAAGCCAGTCCAGTAAGAACAGAACCATGAGCCAAGGTGAGCACAAATGCAACAGTGCGAATAAAGCTCTAAAGAATTGATTTTCCAAATGTGAAGCAGTATCAGCCATTATTCAGAAGAAATCTTTGCACCTCAAATGCCACTGTTCCATTTAATGGATGTTTCTTCAGCTTCAAAGCCCATCAATTTCAAGGATTCAATGCTCATTCAACTTTTAACTCAGTTCTAGGAAGAAACAAATTCCAAAAACTTTACTCTGTAGCACAGAGATACTTTATTACAATGTTTTTCAGACATTATTGGAATAATGTGAAAAGGACAGAAAAACTTTCAACATTGGTAAAATTACAACTGTTTCCCATACAAATGTAGACTAGAGCTCTAGAGACTTCGTTTTTTTACTAGAAATTGTAAACAAGTAAGGCAATTCATATTAAAACAGCTTTCTAATTTGTTAGAAAAAAACCACATAAGAAAATTTAAGCTGGTAACACTATCTCAACAACACAACTACAAGGTGTAACATGAATCCTCTTCCAGAATTAAAAACTCTAAACCAATCCCCAACAGCACCTAAAATACAAAGAGGTTGTAGCAACTAGTCTGGAGTGGTATAATCTAAAAAAAATCGATCCCCAAAACACACTGGAATATTTCTACTCCAGCAAGGTTTCAATGAAGAGAGACTGTGTATAAATCTGAGCAAGAGACAGAAGCATCAGAACTCTGATTTCTCTGCATTTCTCAGAACTCTGAATTCTCCTTGTCAGGAGCTACTAGCTCACATCTTGCGAGGAAGTCAAGATGCTTGTCACAATCCTTTCTCTTTTCTTTTTCTTCTTTTTTTTTTCAGCGGCAGAGAAGATTTAAGGCCATCAGACTCGCAGTTTTAAAAATTCACAGACTTGGGAAAATAATGTTGTGCTTCTCAGAAGGCTCTGTTCTGCAGGTAGGGATTACCACGGCTGGAGGAGCCTGGAGTGGCTGGAATTTCACATGACCACACAGCTTCTGTTGGATGCCCTTTGCTCTGCCTGTTGTGAACAGGGAGAACCATTTAAAACAGAAACAAAAAAACAACCGGGAAAGAAACCCCCCAAAAAAAGCAAACCAGCAGCAAAATGTTCAAAATGTTTTTCTACCCAAAAGAATCTACTGTGCTTTTTTATTGTATACTTTTTAATAAGTAGATATTAATTTTATATGGATTATATATTAATTATATATAAACTAGATAATTATATATTTAATATATAGGTAAATATATATTAAATTATATATATATATAGATATACATATATATATACATACATATATACATACACATACATTATATATAAACACTTTTTAATATATGAAATTATTTGCCTGGCATGGTACAAACAAGAGTCAGCAAAGCTGTACAACCTGTTTTACCCTGGAATTATAACAAGGTTACATGTCCTTTCCTATTGAGGAGCAATAGAGGACAGGTATCAGAAAAATACAAGTAATTGCCATATTTGAATCAGTGAGCATAAACAAGAACCTTGAGAGGTTTTATGTAATAAATGTAACATCTCTCATTTCCAACACAGTCCTTTGGTGGTTTTTTTTGGTCTTCAGAACTTCATTTTTTCAGCATGCTAGGCACATTTTCTCTCAAAGAGTTTTCAAATCTCAAATTATCTCTATCAGAGAAAATATGTGAATATATGACAATAACATGATTTTCTCTATCAGAGATAAAGAGAGATTTAAATTCTGGAAACTTTCAGTAAACTTTACCTGCTCAAGCCAAACTTTACTATAAACAATTGACATGGGGAGAATCTTATGAGGAACAAAGTTTAAGGGAAGAAAAAAATCCCCATATCTTTAATTTTAAAAAAAATTTACTTCTCTGCAAGAGGATATATCGGGCAATATTTTTACACTGGTTTCAATAAGACAGCTCAATGCTTTCCTTAATTACTAATTAAAAAAAAAAAAGAAAAATAAAATAACATCCACACTCAATTTTTAATTTTTTTTAAATTTAAGAATTCATTACTTATATCCCATTTTTTCAATGTAAATAACCTTGTTAACCCTAAAAAAAAATACCTGCTGACGGTAAATGTCTTCCTCATCCAGAGCTTCAGCTACTTCCTCCTCAACTTCCTCATCTTCCCCTTTACGTGCTGTTGTTTTGAACACAGTGCTTCTCTGAGCAACCTCCTAAAAGACAGTTTTAAGACTTGAACTTTTTTAAAAAAAAAATCTCCTGTTTCTCACCTGCTCAAGACTTTGAGAAATGAAAGCTCCAGCTGCCGGGAGAACTACTTGCACTCATTTTGTTTGTATACTTCTCAAGTATTGCTGATCATAAACAGCTTAATTTTAAATATCTTAATGATTAGATGGACTGTTTCTGACAACATCCAAAGTCTGCTCTTTTTCATCTATATTTAAATATTTTCTTTCATTTGAAGCATGTCACAGTAACTATCCCACAAGAAGTTTTAACTGTATTAACCCCTCATTGCTCCATGTGGATATTACTCTGGAATTCCCCACTCCTCAAAAGCACCCAGACTTAAGGAAAACTGATTTAG